ATCAGAAATCTGATGGTTTCAAGTATTTTAAATATTAGAAACCCATTCAGGAGAAGACCACTCAGGAGAAACCATTTCAGGAGGATTCTGATCATGAAGAGAAATCTAATAGTGAAGATAAATCTAATCATGAAGAGGAATCTGATAAAAATAATGATGATAATAAAGGTGAAAGTAACAAGGAGGAGAGAATTAGAAGGAGTAAAAATATGGTATCTTTCGAGTATGATAGTAGTAGTAGTAGTAGTAATAGTATCCTATTGATATCTTTATAACACCTTGATTGGAACCTTATTGTATTCTATCTTCACCATTAATCGTTATCAATCAGGATCACCTGATTCTAAAAAAACAAAAAAATAGGGGACCAATCAGATCAAATCTGACAACCCAAATTTAATCCAATTAGTCTCTTATTTGTCATCGTTTGACTAGTGTTATATAAGACTACTTTTACATACTACTAAAGGAAATCAGTATATCATTATAACAACTGAATATTTGAGTAAATGGGTTGAAGCTAGTATCACATCAGATTGTACTGCCCAAACTACTGCGTAATTTATGTACAATGAAATCATCTGTCGATATAAAATGCCAAAAAAGATATTAACTGATAGAGTAATGTCATTCCAAAATGAATTAATTACCGCATTATTACATATAGTTGAAACTAAACATAGATTATCTTCACCATATCATCCCAAACTAATGGTTTAATAGAGCATTTTAATAGAACATTATGTATAATTTTAGCAAAGTATACTGAACAATACCATGAAGAATGGGATACGTATTTAACTTTTGCATTTTTTGCATATTATATAACACAGCAAGGAACAATGAAATTTGAGCCATTCAAATTATTATATAAACAAAAAGCAGTTCTACTAATAAATTTACAATTGCAATGAATATGACATATCGGACATATTTGACATATATGATATATTAAACATATTATTTATATCTTCTATATACAGTATTTTATATAAATATATAGTTTTTTAGATCTTATAAAAAATAGGATTTGACGAGTCAGTTTTCTAGTAGTTTTCAAAGGCAAATAGGCCTATTGTGTTACACTTTAAGTTTAATACTTCATTTCTTTATTTTCTTTTCTTTTTTCTTGTCATATCTTTTATTCTCTTTATTTCTATTTTCTATTTCATCAATAAACATCTTACTTGAAAATATAATTACTCAATACCTTTTAAACTATTAATTACGAAATACTCATATAAACCTTTATCTGAATTTAATCATAATAATAACTTTATAAAAGCCTTAAGATTACTATACAATTAAAAGAAATAACATTCTAACACTCTATCTAACAGTTGTAATTTGCAAGAATTATATGTTAATAGTAATATATTGTCAAATTAAGGTATATTTTACTTTGCTGCTTATTATTGACATTCATATATCCAGAGTTAGGAATTTTATATGTTCTAGATAAAATTAACAATATACATATACTGTATTTATACTAATTTTTATATTAATTATTATAATGTACTAATTATACTAATTATATTAATTATTTATTATATTAACACTGTACTTTCTAACTCTACCATATAGGGTTGGTAAAAATCGTAATTGGTCTTAATTGGTCTTAATTAATTTTTAAAAAATTATTAGTTTTAAAGATTAAATTTTTTTAAATATTATTATTAAATTCAATTTTTTAATTAAAGTTATTTATTAAAATAGGCTTAAATTTCTTTTTAAAATTTAAATTATCTTTAAAATTTTAGATTTAAAATTAGGTCTTATAACTAAGTCTTAAATTAAGTATATTTATTATTTTTAAAGAATTATTTTATTTTAAATTAATAAAATAATTGATATATAATAATTATTAAAAAGATTAATTTATTATTAAAAAATTTAATTAATAGTATATAAATTAAAATTATCTTCAAATTCTTTAAGACTAATTAGGATTTATTAGGACTTTTACCAACCCTACCTATATAAGTCTACTGTAAAAAATAATTTTTCTAATATCTTATGTAAATTGTGTTTAATATTTGAATAAAAATTATTAAATTTTAGGATAATCAATTCTTTTATTTAATATTAATCTGAAATCTTACAATAAGAATCAAAAAAATTCATCATTTTGATTAATTTTTTTATTTCAATAATATTAAATAATTATTAATAATCAGTTAATAAGTACTTAACTTAATTTGGATTTTTCCTTTATAAATCAAAAAGTTTTATATTAGAAATTTAAAACTAATTACTTTTAAACTTTTTGAAATTATTATATTATATAATCTAAAAAGGTAATATTCAATACTAGAATTTCTTGACTTGTTAAAAAATACAAATTTATATTTTTTATTAACAGGCATTTTTGAACTATCTTTAGTTTCATAATCTATATCATTTTACAAAAAAGAAGTTTTACACAAATTTTATTTGATTAAAGCTTATTAACATTTTATAAATACATAGAAGAAGTTTGAATTAATTTAACTTTTGATATATTATTCATATTATTAAGGCTAAAAGAGTTTATAGAAAGTTATATAACAAATAATAATATAATAAAACATAATGTGAAATATATAAAACTAGACTAACTAAATAATATTATAATAAAATATAATATAAAATATAAGGCTAAACTAAGATTGCTTATTTAAACTTATTTTGGATTTAACATTTAAACCTTTAGTTTTGCTAAACTTTTATTAAATGTTTAATATAATTTTGTTATAAGTTTTAATATAGTTTTACTTTTTCTGAATTTTGCAGATTTTTTAATAAGATTTTAATATAATTTAACTAGGTTTTATCTTTATTATTTAGATATCTATCTAAACTCTAGATTTTATCTAGCAATCTTAAACTAAACCAAAAAATTTTTATACTGATCAATTTATATTTAAATTAAGGTTAGCATTTCAACTTTAATAAAATTAGAACTAAATTCTAACTTTAATAAAATTGGGTTAATTAAAAAGATTATTATTTAGTATTATCACAAGTGATAATCATCATTAATAGTTATAAATCATATGATATAAATAATAATAAATTGATGTAATAAATCAAATCATAATAAATAAGTTTAATAAATTTTAAGTAGTTTTTTGATCAAATTTTTTTTCTTTATTCACGCGTATTAATACAAAATGTAATAATCTAATACAATAATAATCAAGAAGATAGATGATTTTTTTCACAACTAGAAATAACCAAAACTTGCAGTTTTATTTAAATTTATTTACTTCAAAAGTACATAATACAGCTTTATATTATAATAATAATTGCTTTGAATATAATAATAGTTCAAACAAATCTGATAATAATAATGGTAAATATATAAGTATTTAGTAACAAAGAGTAATCATTTTTTTACATATATATTAAATTTTCAAATATAAATAATATTAAATATCAAGAAAATAAAGAAGAATACGTTTTATTATAAGTTTTATTAAAGGTCAGAATGATGTTTAATGATTATAATAATGCTAAACGGTTTTTTAATCAATATGCAAATTACAAATTTAAGTTTATTTAGAATGATAAGAAAGGTAAGCCAGCTGCAGGCCATATAGTCAATGGTTGCATAGCATTTGTAGTTGAGTTTCATGGCATTAGGATTTGTTTTGTCTTTTTTTAATAAGCAGAAAAATAATATGATTAAGTTATAATATTTACAATATTAGACAGTCACATGTTATTTTATTATGTGATATCGGTGATGATTACCGCCAGTGACAATTAGAAAATTTTATATAAAAATTGATAAATATAATCCTTAATATAAGTTATTCAAAACAAACAATCTTTTAATTTTAATTTTATAAATAATTACTAAAATAATTAAAATCTTTTTTAAGATTCTAAATTAAAATAGTAAAATATTATTATTTGCAACTAAATATATAATAAGAGTAGAAGTATGTAAAGTATGAAAAAGTATAACAATAATAATAATATATCATATTATTAAAATATATTTTCTTTTAATCAATTATTTATAATAATTACATTTATCAGATATTTAAAGAAATATGTTCTATAATTTTTTAATACTTAAAATTAAGTTTAAAAATAACAATTTTAATGAAAATAATTTAAAACACTTTGAAAATATTTACTTCCTATAAATTTAAATCTTTCTCAAATTATAATTTTCTAACATTTGACATTTAGAATAAAAACAAATTTTTTTTCAGTCTATGTACTTTCTGCTATAGTAATTTCATCCTCTCTTTCCTCTCCTTTATTAGGATTAACATTTGTTAACAAAAATTCCACAATTTTTTCATGATTATTTTGTTGAGCTTCATATATTGGAGTTCTACCTGATTTATTTTTTATCTAAATACAATTCGAATTAATTTAATTAAATTTAAAAAAGAAATAGTAAGAACGAAATGCTCCACAATACCTTTGCATCGGCTCCACTCTTGATTAATAACTTAACTACTTTCTCGTGACCATTTAGTGCACTCCAATGCAATGGTGTATTTCCTGAATTATTTTGCATACTCACAACTCGTTCTAACAATGATCCTAATGCTTGTATTATGAATTCCACAATTTCTATTTTAAACGCATTCGAATTAATCACTTTAAAATGTCATGAATTCGACAGGTCTTACTATTGTCACCTACCTAAATGTCCATTAGCACTTGCCATGTGTAAAGCAGTATTTCCAAATTCGTCCTTTGATTCGAGACATGTGGCAGGATATAAATTCATAATAGTCTTCAATTCCTCTAATTCACCATAACGTGCATATTCTATAACTTCATCAATAAGCTCCTCTGAATGTGTAGTTTGAATATCGACTATCGGCATATCATATATTTTATATATTTTAGATCAAACAATATACAAGAAAAAGAAAATCAAGCTTAATAAAAATTTTTGTTACGAGATGACGATCATGATGATCATGTTATCTGTCATAAAAGTTTACCTTAAATTTAAATTATATATTCTTTTTACGACCAAATTATAAATGGCAGGCTTAAAAAGTAAGTTTCCTTGTACTTTTACGCTCTATACTATTCTCTTGTATAAGTAAAACTAATACAATTCTTAATATACTAGCGTACGGTTTATCATAATGTTCGAGAATGCTGCATCTTTCAAATTTCGCGTAATTAATCTCTTTTTTGAATAATTTCCTTAAAAAGCATCATAATTTTAGCTTTTGTTCTGGCTTGTGGATTCTTACTCGTCATTTTATCTGGAGCATTATATCAGTACGTCAGCACATCAACTTTTCTTTTATGAAAATTATTTTATGAAAATGCTTTTCTAATGATTTAATAAACTTTTGATTCCATTAGAAATTGGTGGCCACTTTTTGTTGGTAATTAGAAATATTATCTTTTTGTCATTGATTTAAATTTAATTTTTTAATTTTTATCATGTTATAGTTGCAACATATGTGTTAGCACCTTTACCAAATTACATATTTTCAAAATGTTCCGGTAGTGATGAATTTTTTAGCGAAAATGATAGGTATATATTAAATATTTATGTAAATTAAAATTCTCTATTTTAATAATATATTTTTGAAATTCAATTAGTAATAAAAAAGACTTTGGACAATTCTTGACAGCAATATTACTTGTTACTGGAGTTTGTGAGTAAAAAATTAAGAATGAATTTTATTGACTCAATTAATTAAAAGCTTTTATTTGAATATTTAGGTTTACCAATCGTTCTTGCACATGCAGAAGTAATAACATTTGCGGCAATGATTATGAGTATTGGAGGAGGTGCATTGGTATATTCAACAAGTAAGTTGAGTATAAAAATGTTTGTTTTTCACAAAATGAATTCTTTAATAATAATATATCATTTATTTAAAATCAGTCATTACCTATACCCATTTCTTTGCATACGAAGATGATTTCTAAGAGAAAGTTATCATTATATAAATGGTCTATACATATAATATATATTATATATCTCTCACATGATTTGTATTATTAGCTTTTTTATATATTATATATCAAAGGTCTACTAAAAAATATTTCCGATAATCAGGTGAGTAGACGCGTATTTTCGAAAAATAAATTAATTGACTTTATATGATATTAATCTTCAAAAATAGAATTTAAGAATAATATATATTTTTTTGCAATAAATAACTATTTTTATAAATATAAATAATTACTTTACATTATTGATAAATCTACTGATTTTAAGGCATGGCATATATTACATTTATATATAATTATTATTATAAAAGCAATTTAGTTTTATATCTCAGTTTCAGTTTTTATATTAATGTTATTAAAGTAAATATTTTTATTAGTATTAAAAAAATATTTAAATTAAAATTTACTTTAATAAATTTATTTCTATTATGTTTAGCTTTTTTATTCATCATTTTTAATTGTTATTAACTTCCCTTATTTGTAAGAAGTCAAGCAAATGAAAGTGTCTTTTTCTTTTTTTAGAAGAAAGTAACAAAATGTCTGGTTAAGCTTCAGAAGTTGCTTAAAAATTATTAGCTTGTAAATTACAAAATTACAATGAACTGAATATTTAAAGCTAAACATAAGATACATGTTCCAGAATTTTATAAATATCTAGTTCTTCTATAATTTATGCAATTTGGGCTTTTATTCATTCATTTTTATTTTTAAGGATCCCTTAGATTGTAGGGTTTCGCAGGCAAATTTGCCTGCTTATTTACTATAAATTCTCTTTTGATTTACTTTTATAAATAATTAATATTTTTAAAAAAAATTTTTTTAAATTAATTATATAAATATGTAATATATTATAATAAATTTTATCTTTTAATTATATAATAAAAAATATAATATTACTTAGAAGCTAAAAATTTGTAATTTTAAAAAAAAATTATTTT